CGATTACAAATAGTTTGCGATTATCTCGTTACATGAACTCGAACAATTTGCGCGTTCTCGATGTTACTTTGTGTTTGATATTACAGATCCCGACGTTCTTGCACATTTCCATCGATCCGATCAGTGCGCACGTTTTACAACTTTGCGGATTGCAAACTACTCTCGTATTGCGTTCGATTTGCACACGGCTGGCCTCACTTCGCTTGTACGCTGCGAATTTAATTTCGACGTTACGCATCTCACTTCCAGATATCAGATCTGTCGATAAAACTTGCGTTTAATCACCCAGCACTGTGCGCACTCCTTCTTTTTTGCTTTCGCATTTTTTTCCTTTTACATATATACTCGAACGATCGCAATATATAAAAAGCGATTGTCGGCAGTTATTTATTTTCGCGGCGTATGCTTTATTTTTTTCTCGAATTCTACCATATTGGAATCCTATCACACATATTCGAATTCATATTCTATCATATTCATATCATTCTATTTCATATTTGAATTTTATCATATTTCTATTATCATATATTTTATTATATCTTTTTACATGCACGGAAAGATTTTGCTGAAGTATCTAAATAGCTAGATTTAGATCTGAAAATAATGGATTATCAAAATAATTGGACTATTAAAATAATTACGTAGAGCGCTCAAGCTGATTACTAGAATGGCAACATTTTATGTAGCATTGTTCATCACGCTTGAGTTTTCTACATAATTATTTCATTGGTTCAATAAAGTTATTTCAGATTTCTGTATCTATGAAAAGAACGATTTTATTGAAGTATCTACATTGAAAAAAAAAGATATTGTATCAACAACATTATTGTAATTGAAAAAAATCTTGTTAATTCAATAATAGTATATTGATAAAGGAATACAATTTTATCAAAACAAGACCATAACGTACTTGTTTCATTAATAGTGTTTTGTGTGTGTTGTGTAAATTAATAAAATTTTTTAAAATTAAAGTAATGCTGTTGATATAATATAATTTTTTTCAGTGTAAAAATTTAGTTACAAATTTTTGAAAGTAACTTTTTCGGATTATCAAAATAATTATGTAAGATGCTTAAATTAATGATTTAAATGTCAAAATTGTTTATTATTATCATCAAATTTTAGCGTCCTACATAACTATTTTGATGACCTAACAAAATTATTTTCACATTTACGGCTTATAGCTAAATTTTTAGATATTTCAACAAAAATCATCTTTTTCTGGGTATCTAAATTTTTTGAACTTCAACAAACTCATTCTTTCTGTGTACGTCTTCCATGATAATCCTACTTTAACGTTGCTGCCTTTCTAATTACAGTTCCGGATCGAAGTTGTATAATAATTAATTAGAATATTAAAATAAATTTTTGACGAGAGGCTGTTTTGCATTGCCGCGTAAAATCAATAATGTTAATGGCCATGTTTACAGCGTAGCTGCGGACATTTTATTACTCGCTGCTCCTCAAATATTACACGTATCGTAATTCCGCCGGGTAGTTGTCGCTCAATACTAAAACCACGCCAAAACTGAGCTTTAGTACAGCCTGGTTGGTCCGTGGGATGTACATATATACGCTGACCCGAAATCAAATAATCTTGGTATGGTGGAACAAAGGCTGTAGCTGCGGTAGCCGGCAACTTTCATACGCGCTGGTTTACATTTTCGCGAGTGCCCGCTTTGATTTTCTCTATCCGTCTCTTGTAAGCGCGGTGTAGCAAAGAAATATCTCATTTCGTTTTCTGTACACGAGCGCTCATACTCCGCAGTGTTTTCTAACTGACCGACACGCGCGTGGTACCAAGAGACCTGAATAAATAAATAAATAAATCCGTCTGTACATATTGCAATCGACGTATCGCTTTTTTTTTCCCTCGTGACAGCGGGTGCGGCGTTCCGTTTCGCTCGCTATACCTATTTCTGCGGAAAGTGCGGAATATCAGCAACGATGGAATAATTGAACTGATCCGTTTACCGTATTTCTTTTCCACTCTGTTTTTAAAGCGCAATCCGATTGCATTCGGAGTATACGTGTTTATGCGACGCGGAGAACTCACCAGATTTCTGAGCACGTCGTCCGGCACGTTTCTGGTGGAATTACACAGCGCCCTGGCAGCGCTGTGCGAGAAGATCACCGGCGCCCTCGTCGTCTGCAGGGCCGCCCTCATCGTTCTTGTCGAGACATGCGAGAGATCGACCAACATGCCCAGCCTGTTCAATTCCCTGACAACTGCCTGCGGAATGATGAAATGCGTTAAAATTCATTTTTGTTTCTACAAAGTGATGCGGCTATCTTATAAAGCAGATGGATGGGAACGTTAAGCTGAATTTTGAAAGGCGCGATGGAAAACATAAGTTGCAAGATGAAAGTATTGCGAATATAAATAGATAAATAAAACAGGTAAAAATGCGACACACGCCGAGAAAAATGTGATTTGATTGATACCAACAAGAAGAGTATCAACGAAACGAATTTTGATTGTACGAATTAGAATTCTAGTTATAAAAAATTGCAAATTCAAATGAAAAATAATATAAATAAATAGATAGATAACTATCTAGATAAATAGATAGATAAGTAAAAAAGCTGCACACTGCACTAACAAGAATCAGTACAAAGAAAACAAATTCTGATCGTATGAATCCGAATTCGAATTGTCGTAATGGAATTTCTGGTTATCTCGATTAGAATGTTTTTTGCTAGATTTAATTATAAGTGCAGTCTGATTTATACCTTTCTGATTGAATCTACCAGAATTCCAATTACTGTAATAAGACTTTTTGTAGTGCAATGTTTTAGGACTTTGCCATTCTATTGGTTACTATTTCTCAGATATATCTATGGTATAATATATCTTTGGTATAATATTATATATACATTCTAGATTTAATGCTTCAAAAAGAGAATATTTGATTAACGAAAGTGAAAATCAAAGTTGGAATCAAAGTATCGTAAATATTTTTAATTTCAAAGCGATCGAAATGTCGGATGGAACGAAGTGCGTCTATTATGTGCAAAAACACGTGAGGAAGGATCGATAGAGGGAAAGGGTAAAAGAAAAATATCATGAGAAACGGAGGAAGTTTCGACTAGCGAACGTTAACCGAGAACGCAAGCAACCGTCGATTCCCTCATAGGGGAAAAAGCTTGGATATATTGGTGATTGGTCGAAGCGCAGGCTTGGGGTAGTATATTTGCGATCCTGTTCTGCCATAAATGTTAATCGCTTTTCCTTATCTTGGAAATGGAGTAAGTTTAATTTTAAAGATCGTTGTGAGTTCCAACATTATAATATACATATATTAGCGCGTTAATTTCGTTGAATTTTCCGGGTTTAGCTTGATCCATATCGTTTTTTTTTAATTAACGGATCATTTAATTAATTTTTAAAATACCGGATTGCTAAAAATAATTAACGGATAGAATTGAAAGAACTGATCACATTTCTTCGTTATTTTATCCATTTTTGTTCTTTCATTAATTTTAGAGATCATGACTTTTATTCGGATGTTCCTACGTATTTTCTACAAACGTCGCGAGTAAATTTCGATAAATACAGTCCTGTCGGCGAAAAAGGAAATGGAGGGAGTTGGGTGGAAGAACGAATCACAATGGTCTCGTTTTTCCGGCATTAAGGGTGAGAGCTCACTTTTCTCGGCGTACACGATTTCACGCGAATGATTCGAGTCTCGTGCATCGATGGTAGAAAACGACGCGCATTGTTTTTGCGGAGAGACGGTATATCTCTGATATGCGTCGTTTTAGCGAGATAGACGATTACGCGAATAGAGAATGATTTTTTATCAGAAGTATTAATAACAGAGCGAGAAATAAGCAAAAAAAAAAAAACGTGGTTCGCGTGCGAAATTTCGTAAAAACATGCAAACAAAGTCGCGAACAGGTAGAATGAACGGGTAAATAGTTACACGGAAAGAACGGTTTTGCTGAAGTATCTAAAAATTTAGCTAGATACAGATCTGAAAATAATTTTGTCGTACTATCAAAATAATTACGTAGGAATCTCAAATACGATATACAATGTTGCAAAAAGTTTTTAACATTCTAGCAGCCAGTTTAAGTTTCCAACAAAAATTATTTTCATATCTGTATCTATACAGGATATCTCAGAATAACCGCCAAATATTTTGTGCATAGATAGAGCGGACTAAACTGATCGAAAAGTCCTTTATCATTTTGCAATAATTAATAAGATATTAATTACTAAAAATTGCCGAATATTGGTTTTCAATGATTTTTTACTCAAATCAACTTTACAGAAAAACAACAAGAGACAAAAAATTGTTTATTTTCTTTTCATAGAATTCTTTCAGAATTTTTTTAATACAGTATTTTTTCATGTTGGTAAAAATAGTTGCTAATTTATATATATATATATATATGTCTATGTATATCTGCTTTTTATAAAACCGAAATTATTTTTATTTTATCCAGAATCCGAAACAAAGCGATTGAACA